AGGTCTGCCTGTCAGGATGAGCCTCTCCTTCTCCAGCCATCCTGCCCTGACCCCAATAAAGTCAACTTTACCCCCCACGGCGGCTCCGCTTTCTGCCCCGTCAGTCTCCTGAAGCCCCTCCTGCCCTCCATGGACCTCCTCTTCCGCGGCCTGTCAGTCTCTCCGGTCACCGGCTGCCCAGGTCAGGCTTCTCCGACCAGGCACCTGGGTATGCAGTAGGTGGATATCTGAGCAGGGCCTCTCAGGACTAAACCACAGTGCACTGCCTAGGATTCTGCAGGAACTGGATATGTTTCACACGCATGGTGCCAACAGATTACCTGTGGTTACCTGACTCATCAGTGCTGTAACGTGCTATAATTACTGTGATCAAAATGAGAGACTGTAAGCATTTCATCATACTCTAGATTAACTTTGGCCTAAAATCTGACTGCTTCATTGATTATTTCCACCAGCGTGAGGCTTTGATTCAGCTGATATTCACTTCATCAGCACTTAAAGGTCCAGTGTGTGGGATTTAGTGGCAACTCCCTTGTTTCATCCTCTTCTTCCAAGCACAAAGGAGTCCACGAAACATGTGAAAAACGTGAATATTTAGGAACCAGTGTTTGGTTTGTCCATTCTGGGCTACTGTAGAAACATGACGGCCTCCGTAGATTAAAAACAGCTAATCTTAAGGTTACAAAAACATAACGATTCTTATTTTCAGGTGATTATACAATAATAAAAACTTACCTATGAACATTATATTACATTTCTGCCACACTGGACCTTTAAATTGTCTTGGTATTCCCCCATATTGGCTATTGATTAGACTACCGGACTGAACCTGTAGTCTAATCCATAGCCAATAAATTCTGGAAATGTTAGAAAAATGCTGGAAAAGTTCTCTGGTCTACTGAGTTTTTTACATTTTCTTTTGGTAAAACTGAATATTGATTATGTTTTTCATGTTTAATGTCAAAATGAGTCCAAAAACCACCAAAAAGCACTTAGAACACAGGAGTATTACTTTCTTACTATCATTTACTATTATCCTAGTAAAGTATTTTTAAAGTTTAGATGAACTTTCAGGTTAATTTCAGAGACTTCACTGATGAAAAACACAACTACTTGATAGGTTTGTTCCTTTAAAATCTGTTGGTTGAAGAAAAATATTTTTGGCCTTTCATTTACGTTGGCCTACTTTTCTACAGATGTATTTCTAGGAAGATATATATTTTTGTATCTTTGTAAGGAGTTGTGGGGCTGGTGATACTAGTTTTTTGTATTCACTGAAGAAATCAACTTGTAATTTCTGTTTATAACTTTGGTGATTTGTAAGCAGGAATTTACGTTTTTATTAGCTTTACTTGCCTACAGCAGGCCCTGTTCTAACCAAACTGTTGCAAGTTTGTCAACTTTGAGGTTTTTTTTGTTCAATCTGAGCCTCTTTGGACAGAAATATTCACTTTGATACGGAGGAGGTTGATTCCCTCTGCTCTAGTTCATGATGTTCAAATGGATAAATCGCTGTCAGCAGGGTCCTAAGCAGCTCTATAGTAAAAAGTGGATGAAAAATACATCATTATTTCAGCCATGAATGCACCCTTTTCATACTTTTTAGGGTCATAACAGTAAAAAAGTTAAATGTGCTCTTGCCATTGTGAAGAAAATAAAAATAACCACATTTTCTGGGCGTTTAAATACACTGTGTAGTGTTTATCATTCCTGTGGGTTATCCTCTTGTTGTGCCTTGTCTTTGACACGTGGATTTGCAGCTTTTAAACCTAAGCACCACCTTTTTTCCACCCAAATGTGCTTTGAGATTGGCCCAGAGTGGCTCTCTACTGCCTCACGTGGACCAATGAGTTTAATCCACATCCTAGGACTACAAAAAAGGCGAGCGACATCTTCAAGTGAGGACCTCGGATGTTTTAATAGCTGCCTTCACAACTTGCCGCACGACAAAACACGGGCCAAGAAAGTGGCTTGGGAACCGGAGGGTCGCCGGTTCAAGTCCCACAGACCACAAAACATG